TCTGCGAGTACCCCACATAAACGTCTGTTTACGAGAGCTTTTTTATCGTTTTCGAGCGGTTTTTTTACAAAGCAGCTAATTAATTTCAAAAATAACACAATTTACTTTGATGAATTAGAATCGAGTTGTTTTCCTATCTCGTCCTTGTTACGCCTCGTCTCAAAATCTCCTCTAATTACACCAAACAAATTACTACATATAGTCTATTCACTGAATTTACGCTTTAAAAGGTTCTCTCAAAATTCGAGTCAATCGAACTCAATGGGTTGATTAATTTTTTATAACATCCAATTTAGGGAATTATATGAAATGATATGTTTCTACCATAATACATTTATGATTTCAGTTGAATTAATGGTTTTGTGGCATTAACAATGATTTGTACAATTTAAACAAAGCCGGATTATTTTCGATTTTATTCATAATTAATTTGATATAGGTACCCATGACACTTAACTTTGGAGGTACCAGCCTTGCAATTAACTGTAAATTCTTCATACAAAACCCGAGTAAATTCAGCGAATGGACTATAGATACGCCGAAATTCCAATTGACGAAAAATAACGCATCGGCGTCGCGAACGTCCCGACGGCGCCCACCTCTACATTTAAACTGTCTGTGAGAGCGTCTGCCGGGGGGACACACTACGTCATAAAAATAACTGACTCGTAGTCGCCAGGCCATCTCATGCGTATGTCGAGGAGGAAGCGCCATTGCCGATGCCGTGCCCCGCCGTTTCCGACGATTTCCTGCGATTTTAGGAACAAGCGGACAGGCACAAATTCCGAGTACTAGCCGACTTGTTATACGGCCATTTTGTCGGTCCTTTAAGATCCCATTCGGGTAGTAAAAAGATGGTTCAAATGTTCGAAATTTATTATCTTTTTCAAATAAAATCCATTCGTTGGGTAATTAGTATGGAGGTGTTACTAATAGTAGAAAGTAAATAGTAATGGACAGTACCAGTTGGAGATTTTAAAGCGTTGGAAAAGGTAATGAATATTGTAGTAACCTATATGAATTGAATTGATATTAGTTTTCATTGATAAATAATTACATATTACATGCACAAGGTGGCTCATTAGCATGAAAAATCTCAATATATTCGCTACAATTGATTCAAAAAAACTTCTGCATAAAAGTTGTAGATATTTTAATGTTGTACAATACATACTTTCCGAGATATTTCAAGTAATAATCGAGACTACTGTAACTGTTTTGAGCAACTGTTTTGTAATAAAAATTGTAAACCAGTTGATCTTGCAACTATTTTGCAACCTCGGCAATGTGTAGTAGTGTGGAACCGCACACAAGTCGATTCAAATGAAACTAGTTTGCAACGAGTCATAAACCAGTTGTACTCGACCATTTCCCGCGGTCGCAGTCGCTTTGCAGTTTCAAGTTGCTTCAAATTCTTGCCAATTTCTGGTGTGATTCATTCGACATTCGACAAATTACTATAGCAACTGATTGAAACTATTTTATAATAGTCGCATCCGTGTGCGTACAGAAGTTTAATATTAGTTGTAAACTGGTTACAGATTAAACTAGATTGCAATCTTTATTTCAAGACAGTTGCTCCGTGAGCGGTGGGCCTAAGAATAAATCGTTCGGTTGTATGGACTGGAAAATCGCCAGTAGCTCTGAACGGTCGCGAAAATCGGCAACGGCGCTGCGCCTCAATCGCCACCGTGCTCCAATTATTTACAAAGCACACTTTACGACTAGCCGAGATGTTTAACTGTTGCGTCATAGGCGCCGGCGGTCATGTGTGTGTTTGTGTGTGCCGGAGCGGATGCCCGCCGTTCCGTCCTCTTCCTCTTTTCCGCTTCCATCGCGAAATCTCCGTGCGATTGGCCGCTATACGCATCCCACAAGAGCGGCGGAGCACTCGACGTCTTTAGGATTATTATTATATCTTTTTTTTCTTTCGTTCCTTGACGTCAATGTGCGCTTACGCGTTTTGGTTCCGGGCAGATGGGGTTGCCAGACTGGGGGAAGTTGTATCCCCCTGACGACAAGATATGTTCTATTTACGCTTTCGCTGCTGCTCCTGCTTTAAGTTCTGATTACTTTCTGAATAGGTTACTGCATTCCGAATAGGTTCCGGATAAGTTCCCGCAACAAATTCTATAGAGAAATGCTGAATACATTTGAACGAATTCAAGTCCTCCGCTGATGGAATTCTGGTATTTTCGATCATTATTAATGCGTATAGCACACTCGAGGTTTTTATGTGTGTTTGTGAGTCGCAAACACTTAAACTAAAACGTTGGTAATCTGTCGAAAAAAATACGACTATTAAGTGGAATTATATGGAGAGTCCTTAACGACTCGAATTAGTGACATTTTTATCAACGTTAAATATTTAGAATTTCGAACAGAAAAAACCGAGCGTGCTTAATAAGTTATTTACCGACGATTTTTTTTCGAAACGTTATTTAAATTTTATTGTTATGGATCAACGTCATTGGCGATTAGATCGAATAAAAATTATAAATCACATTAAAAAAAACTTCAAGGTAATGGAGGTATTTTGGAATTTTTTCGCCTTACGTTAGTTTAGGAGATTACCGATTGTCAAGGGAACTAAAAAAGCAATTAAAAATGATTAATTAATTTTCAGCTGTCGATAAATCGATGAGTCACTCGTTAAAGCGTCGTTTCCAAAATGGACTACACAATGAAATTGCCCGTGTTTAAAATTCTATAAAGAAATTTGATAATATCGTAATTTATAAAAAACTACAAAGATATTTAAAACGAAACTTTACTAATAATTCCATACTTAAAATATAGTTGGTAGCATTGTCAGTTATAATTTTCCTTGCACATGAATTTTATTAGACCTACAAGGATGATAATAAAAGTATAAGTATAATGACAAATAATAAACTATAATTAAAAATAGGTATAATAAGAAAAAGGATTTTCAAACCGTTATATAGAAATTCCAGTAACACAGCGTTTTTTCCATTTTATCAACCTTTCCATCTACCCTTTTACTATCGGTGTGATCCTTAAAGGTACTCACAATGGCCCCTTCCTCGAACATCCTACATTTTATTTGTAATCCCCGTTCATTGTCTATTTTATAACAAACAGCTTGAAGAATATTATAGAAAAGGGACTTATCCCATTTTAACAAGTCCCCATCCGGGAGTCCGTTTTAATATTCACGAATTTTCGTATTGAAATTACGCGTTTCTCCGGATTTTTAGCCGGAGCTAATTGCAAGAAACGAAACAGAAATTACATAAATTCGAGAAATCGGTTTCTAAGAAATCGTGACTGCAATGAAAATATAGTTATTAGTTCCACATTTTCTTGTAATTCATCACGCGATCCAGGCTGATAAGTTTTGGTCCCTCAAAGGTATACGGACAGACCTCTGTAAAATCGAGCGAGGCTCGAGGGGGAATTACGAACAATTCAAAAGGATGTTTTATAACCATAAAAAGTCGTAAACAAAAGTCTTTTAAACATAACCGCAAGTCGAAAAGAAAACGGGTTATTGAACTTTATGGATGGATATTAAATGCTGAAATATAACTGACCATTGTATTCAGAACGTTAATTCCTATTTATAAATAACCAGGAATACATCCTAAGTTATAAGGGTATACGAGGATTTTATTGACGAGAAAAGTTATTTCTCTAATGGGAAATTGACAAAGACTGTGAAATTGCTATATTAATCTCGTTGGTCTGGAGTACAAATGGATTTTCTAATTTCACCGAATAATGTGTAGGATTGCAATTAAGTTTCTAAAATTCTTTAAATTCCCTTTTGGTCGAGCTTTTGTTAAATGTCAGGAATTTTCGGAACCAAGAAAATCGTTAAATTTAAGAAAGCTATAGTTTCGTCATCGATTAAATAATGTTAAACCGATATTAAAAGTGTCGTTTAGTATAATTAGTAAACTATTCAAACTTCGTTTAACTATATCATTGAATATACTTATTCCTACTATATTTCTATATTAATTGAATTTACCTAATGAAAGTTTTATTGTAGTTGAAAACTTGTTGTACCTAGCCTTTAAAGTTTGTGATGATCCAATTGAAATATGTTTAAAGGTAAAAAGGATGTATTGGAAAAAATATTGAATATAATAATTATAGATCTTTAGGTAAGGATAAAGTTAGTTTTTTTAAACATTATAACGACGGGCCAAGGTAAATTACACATCGTAGTAGATGGTATATTAACATAATCCTTCTCAGTTATTTCGATTCATTTACTCACGTTCAATAAAGTCATTTATCTACTATGATCTGTACTGTAATCAACTTCTCCAAAACTACTCTTCTCTCTATTCTCTGTCTCTGATGTACATCTCTCTTCTCCCTATTCCAATCTACTCTCACTCTCTACACTCTATTCTCTACTTTCTTCTCCCTATTCTCTACTATCTACTCTAATTTTCCTTCTATAGATTCTAATCTACGCTTTACTCTCTACTCTAATCTACCCTGTACTCTCCAACGTAGGTACTCTCTACTTTGATGTAAGTACTCTCAATTATCTAATCTACTCTGCTCTGCTCTAAACTACTCTATTTTACTCTAATCTACTCTACCCTGCATAGAAATGCTTTTTAAAACAACGCCAAGAATTTTTTCAGTTTGTAGGAATTGTATCAAAGTTTTCAGGTTAATTAGATTTTGTTATTGCTCAGTTAGTGAATCCGGTAAGGGATTAAGAGTAAAGTACCTACGAATAAAGAGGGTACTTATAATAATTCCGATGCATCGCTACTATGTATGTAAGTAATAAAGTTGTATAGTAAGTAGGAGGAAAGGAACGAACGTCGATGGAATATCAGAAAATATTCAAGTGAAAATATAACGGTGCGAGCGATCTCTATTCGCGTCGCGGCATCGATTTCCTACCCCCTCTCCCCTTCGTGCCGTGGGTCTGGGCGCTACGCTAACGTGTCGTTTCGTCGGAGCGCTAGTCAGTTGAGGGCCGACGTTCGGTCAGTGAGTACAGTGCAATGGCCACATGTTATCCATCGTATGAACTATCACCTCCGCAGAGGACCGCCGTACAAGTGCCCCTACAGAAAGACTACTCGAAGCCGCTGCACGTCGATTGCAGCGTCGAATACGAACTACCCAACACGGCGAAACCGCCGCAGGGCGTCCGCAACGAGCCGCTCCTGATGATCCATCCGTGTTACTTCAGGAAGATCGAGAGCCAAAAGCGGAGCCCCTTCATCAACAACCTGCCCCTGTCGAGGGCGGCTCCGGCGTCGGCGGCGCCGGCGAAACGGCGAACGACGAGGGGCCAACAGCTTCCGCAGCAAGTGCCGCAGCAGGCGGCCCAATATCCGGTGCAGTATTCGACGACGGCGGATAGACAAATTTGGGATCTGATGCCGCCGCTGGTGCCGATCGCGGCGGCCGCCCAGCCTTATTGCAAGCGCGAAACGCGATTGATGTCGGCGGCGGCGGCCGCCGCCGTTTGCGGCCAAACGGCGTATACGTCGGACGGCGACGGTACGCATTGGCCGGACCCCGATCACTCGCCCGATCGCCCGGAGGAGAAGCACATACTCTCCGGGAAGTACAGGCAGTACTTGCGGGCGCATAGACTTCACCATCCGTACGTTAGTTCCGCTATACCATTAGGATCAACGTTCTCCCAGATCCAGCAAGTTTGTTACAATGTCTGATTACTGTGATATTATTACGTGGAACCGTCTGTGGTTTTCGTCTTTCTTGTGATAATAGTGTGTAATGTGACCGAAGGGCACTTGGAGGCGCTTGCGCTTTACTACGGGCGTGGTAGTGATTCTGATAAATCAGCTGTGTCTGTGCATTTTTAGCCATCTACTACTACTACTACCGATACTACCTACCTACCTAACTAACTACCAACTATCTATCTACAATACTACAGGATTACGTTATGTCTTATTTATTATTTTTTTTTTCTTTTATTTTTATGGTAATCTATCTACCTAACAAACGCCTATGTGGAATTCGATTTATTCACTCGTCATCATTATTAGATTCTAATTTATTATTATTGTAATACATATACCTACATGTCTGGAAACTTAATATGTGATAATCAGAAAATATTATAGTTTTGTAGACACATACCTATATTTCGACTTAATTTGCAATTTACACACTTAACATAGACTTAACTAAAAATACATATTGTTAGGATATGTCATGAGGAGTTTTATATAATTCTGTTACATAAACGGCTCCGAATTTATTTTAATCGATCCCGGTTACTCAACAAATTCGTATGAAAAACGCCTATTACTCATAGACCATTTAAAATCCACCATTTTAGTGCTTTGTTATCCACCCCCGCATCTCATAAAAATATTCCTCATGACCCTGTATTTCTGCACGTTTTCTTTATTCGTTAAACCAACGGGAATATGTCAAAAGCATTTCTTGAATTCCATAATTGTCAGTTCGTTACTACACCGAGTAGCTCTGGAAATGATCCTAATTGTCGCTATTTTTATCTTTTTAAAGTAGCATTTGTGTCGTTTTTCTTTAATTATAATTGATGCGTTTGGAAAACATTCTCGATGGGAATTTTCCCAGGTATTAGATTCGCTAATGTACGGGCTGTTTCAAAACATGTGTGTTGTAAACATATGGCAATGATTCTTCGAATCTAACTGAAGTGTTTATTCATTGGAAACTTCATTTTTTATATTACGCAGAGCTTAGAAAATAAAACAGAAAAATAGGATTTTTTGGTGTTGTGGAGATTATAGATAACATAACGTACACAATGCCAAGAAATTGTTTCAAACACCTTTTATCTGAAAACATGTTATTAGGAATTAAGCACATGTTTCGAAACAGTTTTTCACTTTGAAAACAAGCCAAAACATTTTAATGAATAGAAAATTCTAAAATGTTACTAATAACAACTATCAAAAATCGTCGCAATCAATTCTAATCATTTCCGGTCTACCTATCATAACGAATTGGAAATAGCGAGTCGCAAAATTATTCAAAACTAAATATACCTACATCCCTATAATGAATACTTATTTTAAAATTTTAATTCCAACATCCGGTAGGAATGTTATTTACGAAAATATTCGAATATAATCCAGCTGTGGTAATTTAGAATTCAAATTTCATGGAAATATATCCGACGTTCCATATTCAATTTTTCAACGGTATCACAACAGCTAGGTTTTTTAAATGCCTCTTCGGTGTTTCATCATTGTTTGTCTGAGCGCTTCGAAAATTCTCTCAGAAGATTGTAATATATCGAATGCCCAGACCGTAAATACAATGTTACACCGGCAATAAACAATTTATTGTTGTCAATTCATGTTATGTAGATTTTTTTTGTTTTGCAATCAACCACTTCACTTATTAGTGTAATTATATTGAAAAAATTGTGCCTTCGAATGACGTGTCGCGTACTTTCCGTTAATTTGTCTTTTGCGAATTGAGTCGAATCGAAAAATCATTCAAACGAATTGAATTTCCTTCATTGTAACGTATTGTTTCGAGAATTTCAAAATTTTTTTATTGGACCGGGAGTTATTTTGGAACATGGACCTTCGAAAGGGTCGTAGAGTTTCGTTTTATTTTCTATTTTTCTTGCATTAAGTATTCTAATTTGATTTAAGGAATTGTTAAATTTTAGTTGATGTGTTATTTGCGCCCCGAGATTTTGGTATTTTGGGAAAAATAACGTACAGAGCGTCTCATAAGTCCAAACGACAATAAAACTTGTAAATTGTAAATTTTTTTTCTTGTGAAATTCAGCTTGTAAGTTAATTATGAAACGCCCGGTATACCGCGCAATAATCGTAAAAAATGCGCCGATTGGCCAAAAAAAGTTCAGAAATAATCGCACAAAACCAGTCGGAATGTTTGTGTAATTTCGCCAAACACATCAAACTCGCCGGCTGTAAATATTTTACGAAGATAACCGTTCGGGGGCTTTCGAAAATAATTCGCGATTTATTGAACTCGAAAAATCGCAGGAAAATTTGGGTTTTATGTTATGCGGATACAGGCCGTTCATTAATGCAGATATGCCGTAAATTTTTCGAATCGGCGAATTTCACAATCGTTTCTTGTTTGATAGTCCTTTTAAATTACATCGTTCTAAATAAATTCATCGCAAATCAACGTATACATAAATACGGGGCCCGTTGAACTCGATTAAAAAAACTTTTCGAAATTGTTTAGATAACGTTAAGTAACGTAGAAATAATGGCGATTTTGTTATTAATTTCGCGCACGTAGGTGAAAGTTTCACTTATTCATGTGCTTATTCATGATTACTTTGATGTATCCTACGTAAGCAATTGTCTTAATAAATTGTAATTGAAATTGCATTTCTAACTACATAAGTATAAATATGCATTTAATTGGAAACGTTTGTTGACGAATTTTCAATATAAGTTTTAAGTGCTGGGCACTTAAGTACAACAGCGACTAAATTTAAAACTGTCAATAACACTAATCTAATCGAACACATCCAGACAACATAATATACAATTTATATTTATTTTTTCCAATAAATCCATTTCTGTTTAAAATGATATGCCTATATAAGATAACGTTTAAAATTAAATTTCAATGCACCCTCGTAAATCTACAAATTCAATTTTGATGAACTTTCGAATCGATTAAATCGATCTTTCCTTGCTATTAAAATCCGATTCTAATCAAACGGCAATTAATACGGGGATGATTAAGTTATTAAGCCACTTTGCATTGCATCCTGTTTTTAAATGCCTTCGCAATTACCGGCGTTAATGGAATACGTAGTGAAATTTAATATGCAAAATATTTTTCTTATCATTACATACATAAGCTTCTCCTAACTGGGAAAAGCGATAATTTCTTTACTTATCTTAGAAACAATGATTCAATTTATGGGACTAATAATAATGAAATAAATGATAATTTTCTTTAAATGAGACTGTTAAAATTAATGAAATTTCAATTTTATCGCCGTAGTAACGTTCGATTTAAATTCGAACGATTTTTATATATTTTTTATTCGAAAACGATTAAATTCAGCATAACAATTTTTATGTGTAAATCATTAATTTTTTATTCCTCATACGAGGGTTGTAAAAAACGTTTACTGAATAATTCCCCGACTTTTTTAATGAACGTCAATTCTTTTATTTGCGATATTCCAAGAAATTTTTTAAATTCACCGTGTTGTTTGTTACAATCGATTCATAGCAATAAATTGTTATTCAGTGGGCTATAAATTATTACGATGTTGCGATTAAATTGATTTGTTTCGCGGGTTAATTTCACAGATTTCTTATTCCCTCGTAATATTAAGCGTAGACTAAACAATGTGGTTTAAATGAAAGATTTCGAATTTTTGTTGTACGAGAACAACTCGTTGTTCCAATAACAAACACGTTTTAAAATTTATTTTTCGTGTTTTGTTGTAAATAATCGTTTGTAAAAAACTTTTATGGTCATTTTCTTATTTAAATTTCACTACTACTTCCAAAAATACAAAATATTTATTTTGTTAATTTTACCAAAAAATAATTGATCATTTTTAGGTGACTATTGTTGGTATACGAAAAGGTATCGTAAAAAAAACATCATTTTAATCGGATTTTTACGGGCTTTTTAAAATTTATTGTAATATGTTAATGAAAAAACAATGAGTAATTCGCCGTATTCGAATATTCAAATTTATATCGGTTAATTAATTATTTTTTTATATGTCGGGCTGTAGGATGATATTTGGTTTGTTTTCGAAAAATATTTTTAATATCGTTCATTGCAAGTATTTTGTTTTTGTTGAAATGTTTTGATTGTTTTTTATTAAAAATTTCCTGTTTTTGGATGAATTAAGGATTAGCTTATTCTGCTTTTCGACGTTCTAATGTCACTAGATTAGGTATACAAAAACAACCCACCGATAAAATATGAATTTGTAGGGTTATTTCTGAACTTTTCCCATCACACTCTACGATCGATTTCGAATATTCGGTAATCGCTATGGAAATTAGGACGAATAAAAAAAGAAACAAAACGCTTAGAAACTTTATAAAATACTTATTCTAAAAAGAACTGATTAAATGTAAATTTTAGAAATAACGGCGAAATATTTTCCAAATTAAAACTCATCAAAAACAAACAAAATAGAATCTCAATGGATATATTGGAAACAGTAGGGTGTATTATACGGGATGTTCTGTAAGTAGTATCGACCTGAATTTGTGTTATTTTCGATAAATACCCTGTTTAGTTACTTACATTACATCACGTATACATTATAATACCGATAATACAGCAATTAGTCATAGGCTAAAACAGTCATATAACATTTCTTTACATATTATCAAATACTGGGTGTACAAGAAACAGTAGTACCTACTAAGTCTTTTCCTACTCCTCATTTAGAGAGATAAACAATGTAATTAATTTTCGAAATTGGTTACGATTGTTTCTCTCATATAGTCTTTCCAAAATCGGCGTGAGATTATGCATTTTCAACCAATTTTGGAAAGACTATAACAAACCTGCTGTGCGTCATCAACTACATTATAGTAAAAACAGCTTACGAAAAATATATCCTATGTCTTTCATGATAAAATTAGGCTAGATGAAAAAAGTTTAATACACCAAAAATTAAAAAAAAACACCTGTCGGCAGAATATTTACGGGTTTATTATATAGTTCATTA